CTGCTGATGGTCTGCTTTTCACTTTTTGAGACTTTAAAAGAAAATCCTCTTTTAATCAAAAAGGCTTTTCTATTCGCTGTGTTTTCAGGTGCACTGGACTTTGGAGTGTTTAAATTTCGATTAGTGCTCTTGTCTGAATCACTTTTTCCATTTCCACTTTGTTTATAGCTCACATGGCTAAACTTAGCATGATAGAAGTTTCCTTTACCTCTTGGACATATGGCAAGCGCTCATGTCAACGGTTTTCATGTTCTTATCCTCTGATCTTAACACTGGTATCTTTCCAAGTCAATTAAAATATTTATTTTTATTTTATGGGCATATGTGTTGTGCCTGCACATATGTCTGTCTGTGTGTGCAGTGCTCATAGATTCCAGGAGAGGGCATCAGATCCCTTGATACAGGAGTTACATACACTTGTAAGCTACCACGTGGGTGCTAGGAACTGAACCTGGGTCCTCTGGGAGACTGGGCCAACTCACGGCACCTCTGAGTCAGTGTTTATTCATTGATTTTTCTTTTAATTATGAATTCTATTCTTCTAGTTCTTTCTGTGTGTGGAAATTGTGGATTAGACACAGGCATTGTGAATGTTATCTTGGTATAGGAGCTTGTGCTTGGGATCTGTTTGTCATCCAGAATCTGGATATGTTTGTATTTCTATGGATATGTGTGGTATCTATTCTGAGATTCTTAGTCAGGCAGTAGCAGTTCATGCCTTTAATCCCAGCACTTGGGAGGCAGAAGCAGGTGGATCTCTGTGAGTTTGAGGCCAGCCGGGTCTACAGAGCAAGTTCCAGGAGATACACCCTGTCTCGAAAAACAAAACAAACAAAAGAGTCAGCTTACTTTAAGTCTTCCTTTTGACATCTGTCAGAGTCAGCTCATCTAATTTAGGGCTAACAATGCCCCATAATGGAATGCCAATTATGGAGGAGCCTTCTGACTGTCCTGTGTACTACAGGTTCTCGAGTCTGTCTAGTGAAAAGAAGTCTGGCTTGTGAGTGTTTGCTTCTTTACTTCTCTCAGACGGGCCTTCCCTGGCTGGAGTCTCAACACGCACATGTTGATCCTTCACACACCAAGGGGACGTTCTAGATCACCTGCAGCCTTCCTCTTTGGAACGCTCTTCTGCAAACACTAGTTAGAGAGCTGTGGGCGCTTTCCTCTCCACGGCCTCCTCGGTTCACAGAACCTGCCAAGCTCGGCCTGTTTGCCATGCGCTGTGTCACAGCCTGAAGACAATCAAGGGACTACGCTACCCACTCACAGGTCCTGTCACTGTCAGATGTCTTGAAACCACTGTTTTATTTGTTTAGATGGAAGAGTAAATCTGGTCACGTGACTGTACCCTGTGAAATGCAGACGTCTTGGACTTTGCATTTAGATCCTGGGGGATGAAGTTAGTGTCAGCTCTATAGCCTTGAAACACTACCTAACTTCTCCCAGCCTTGTTCGTTTTTCATCTGTAAAACTGGAACGATAATGTCCTAACAGTTAAACTACACTTATAAAAAGGATTCAGCACAAAGCCTGGTGTACAGCAAGCCCTCTAGTAATGGGGCCATTTCATTATCTGGATTGTTGGCTTCTAACAGACACTCCTTGCAGATGATTCTAGAACTAAAATGTTTAGATTTTATTAATTCAAAATTCAAAATTAAGCTATGCCCTCAATATTTTAGCCACATGTTTATTATGTATAATTACAAATGACATTATATAAATAACTTCATCACTGTCAAACTTTGTATTTTGCATGCTAGTCTTTTTACTTCATTGATTGCATATTTCAACACATTAGGAAGCATTAGGCCACTTGAACATTCTACTGGAAAAAGAATGAGGTTTGTTTGTCTCTTCTAATTTGAATTTATTATTTCTCTTTTGTTTGTTTGTTGAGGCAGGGTCTCACTATGTAGTCCTGGGTGGCCAGGAACTCTTCTGTGAAGACCATGCTGGCCTCAAATTCACAGAGATTCTCCTGTTTCTGCCTCCCCAGTATTGGGATTAAAGATATGAGCCACCAACCTGGCAAATTTCTTGAAGTGAAGTTTACTTCTCTGCCTTTCACTGTCAATGTGGTTACTCTAGCCATGAAATAAGGTTTTGTTTGTTTTCAAAGGGTCTATGTACTACAAATGAGGTTATTAGTACACTTCCAAAATGTTTCTAGACTTTAATATGTTAATGATGATCTGAGAAAATATTTGGTTGGAATTTGTCTGCTATACTAAAAAGTGAGTGTCAACAAGTGATACAAATTGGTTATATAATTATTCAGGCTGCAAGAGGGTTTTTCCATCACAAAATTTTAAATGTTTAGTAACAATATATTGTGCACTTGAAACCAATTTTTAAGGTTCATCATGCCCATTAATTTGCTTTCTTTGTATCCAAGCAATACTTAAAAATAAACAAAAGTTCCTGACAATCAGTAAACAGTTATTTGAAATGTGCCCTCATTGTTGCATAGCAACTATTGATCCTATTATGTGTTTTTTTACATACTCTAAAATAATTAAGCACAGGCACAAATTGTTATCTACTTTTTAAAAATGTTAAAAGCATTTAAGTTATTAAATGTATTCTAATTTGTGCATTATATATTTGTAAAGAGAACATTTCATTCCTACGCAAAGGCACAGTGACCCAAGAAAGAGATGACAATGTCATTATTAGTGATTCTCCTTTCTCATGAGAGGACTTTTAGGGAACTTTTTATTCACAGTCTTAATAGCTAACACAGTCAAGACAGTCTTATTATTCTCTGGCTTTACTGGCCTGAGCATGATTTACTGCTGGTTAAACTGTAACATTTATTAAAAAATGATGTCCACTCAACAAAATGAGACACCCATTTATACTACAGGAAATTATACATGCCGAGGGACATCTGTGAGATAAACATAATGTATTGGACACAGCAAGCACTTAGGAACTTTTACAACACTACACAGGATTCTTTCCACCATGGATTGACTCTGGATAAAGCAAGAACACTGATTTTTTAAACGCCAGATGCTAGCACTAGCTTGACCTCTGAGTAGAAGAACTGGGATGAGCCGTAAAGACCCTTCTCCAGTGAGAGGTACGAAAACCCCAGTGGGGTCGGGGTGTGGAGAGCAGGGTGGGGAAAGGCAGGAACATTCATGCCATCAGCCTAAGAGGAAGAACTCAGGGGTTGGAGGAAATGATTGCCATACCTCTATCTGGGTTAACTCTACCAAAACAATCTCAAAAACAGGACATTTAGGGAATTTCATAATAAATATCCACACACTGCTCTCCAAAAAGCTGTTTTCATCTCAAGTTCTGTGGCCATGGCAGGCTACTTTTCTAGGCCTTCACCACAGGGCCAAAACTATTCTAACATCTGCCATTAAAGGAGAAGCCTCCTATTTGGAATGTTTGGTTGATAGATTTGGTGGTCCTAGAATGGAACCCAGGACCTTGAACATGTTAGGAAGATCATCTTTTTGAGTGTTTAAACATTCAAATGACAAGGGTCGGGGAGATGAAGAAGAGCAGGCCATCTAAATAAGCCCATCAAATATCATCAAAGATTAGAAGTGGGAGCCTTACCCAAGAAAGAAAAGGTCAGCTAGATGAGGTTAGACTGGAGCATTTCTAGCGACTTGCCAACAGTCTCGGATTTTATTCCCACCTCTGTACAACTCTACTTAACAGTGATTTTCCTCTTGACACAAGGTCCCTTCAGTCCAGGCTGGCCTCAAAGTCCTTCTTCCTGCCTCAGCCTCAGCACTGGGGTAACAGGATGGGTAACCATACCCAGATGGTGATTTTATAGTCATAATCTGACTATCTAAGGGCAAGGGAGAAGGCACTGGTTCACAGCAGGCTAGTGCTGGTTGAGGATGTCTGGAAATGGAAGTGACAGATTTAGAATCCAGCAGAGCATTAACAGCGCACAAACGGTTTCCCTATGCTGGCTGGCTCAGTGAGGGACTACAAGTGGAGGCCGCAGCTTGAAGGTGGCAGAGGTTACAACAGGATCCGATCCCCAACAAGAACCGGATACAGTGGCTGAAGAAACGACAAGCAGCATAGCCACACCCGTGCGAATTTCAGTAGAAAGCTCCAGTTCTGGAGAAACTTGAAACCGCAGGAGAACAGTGAGCTGGGGAGGGACCGGGTGAGTTCATGGGTTCACTCTGCCCAGCATGCCCACGGCCTTGGATTCCAAACGGAGGGCCAGCTCCTTTGCTGTAGCAGTGATGACACTGAGGGAGACGGCCTGGGCTGGGTACAAGACACAGCGGGAGGAGAGCACAGTGGAGAGGTTTAGGCTCAGAGTCCAGCGGGGTTCCAGGGGTCAGCGAGGAGTACTGAAATTTGTGTCAGGGAGGGGCTCATCACCAGTCCTTGGTGAGGAGGGCTGTGCCTGCCGAGAAAGTGGAGACTACAGCCTCAAAAGCATGACTTGCTTCACTTAGTTGTATTTAAGTTGTTCTTTGTTGAAACCGTGAACAATATAGCGAAGTCCAAAGACCACAGTGGATATTTTTCATGCTCTGAGTGCAAATCGTTCTTAGTAACAGAAAGAAATTTTTATTCATTTAACCCTGCCAGAGTAAACTGGTCAAATTTTCATAACTAATAATTTAAAATCATTTCTATTTTCTTATCTTAGAGGCAAAGAAGTGAGAATTATTAGTATTTCTATGCTTTAACAAATATGATCAAATGCAGATTCTGACATTTGCTGAAAAAAGGTAAATGTTTAAAGTTTAAAATTATGGTTTTCTGTATAAGAACTGAGAAAAATCCTAGCATTACAAGATTTCAAAATCTATTTTTTATTTTCCCTTTTTTACTTCCTACCACATTGTCTAATATTTTGGAAAATGCATATATCTTAAGTATATTTGGAGTGGGAAATTCCAGATGGAATGAAAAGTGTTCAGAGAAGCGGAGACATCTATATGGAACAGTCTTCTGGCAGAAGGACAGGATGTTTCCAAGAGAGCCAGTGTTACCTTCTCCCTCCAGCTATCATCACTCAGCAGCTTCTGTCTCAGGGTCTCCTGCATCTGCTCGATGCTTTTCTTATGGGCAGCCAGCATCAATTCCCTGAAAACCACAAACCCAACAGATGAGTCGGGACGCAGCCCTCGTGATCCTCCTGAGGTGCAATCCCTGTCTCACAGGCTATTCTTTGCCAACATAATGTGCTCACTCCCTTTTATCAACAGGACATTGCTGTGGATCGAACCCGGGGTCGCCTCTGACTGCGTTCCTCCTCCTTCAGCACACCCACTCAAGGGCGGCCGGCCAGAAGGTGAGCCTCCACAACTTCTTTTAAAAACTGAAGTCCAGGGCCGAGGAGGTGCTCAGTGGGTAGGGTGCTTGCCGTTACAAGTGCGAAGAAGACCTGAGTTCAGAGCCTCAGAGCCCACAGGAAGCCAGACATGGAGGTATGCTTCTACAATATCAGAGCCCCTACAGCAGGACGGGAAGCAGACACAGGACGCCCAGAAGCTGTCGAGGTTACTGACCTGGTGTATGCAGGATGACAGAAGATGCCGCCTCACCAAGGTGGAAGGTGAGGTTCTATGCCCGACACTGTCCTCTACATATGTGCAATGGTATGTGCACACACACGCATGCGCACACACCACACACACACACACATACACACACACACACACACACCTCCCACCATGTACACAAGATTTTAAAAAGCCCTGAAGTCATATCAAGTATCATTTTCAATCATATTGCAATAAAACTAGAAATCAGTAGGGAAAAGTTTAATACAATACAATGAAATGGATGTGAAATAACTTATTCTTGAACAACCAATGATCAAGGAATAAATGTAAATTTTTCATGAGACAAATGAGAGTGGAGACACACACATCGAAATTATGTGATGGGGCAAAAACTGTGTCAAGAGGCAAGTTGACAATAATCAGTGGCTGTGTAAAGGAAGCAGGAAACCTTAGATGTGCAACCTATGGCTTCATCCCAAAGAACTAACAAACCAAACCCAAGACTAGAAGAAGGAAAGAGAAAATAAATATCAGATTATAAGAAAATGAAATAGGTAATAAAAAATACTGTCTTAATTTGCTTTCTATTGCTATGATGACCTTAAGCCAACGTAACTTGGGGAGTAAAGCATTTATTTTATTTATTCTCTAACCACAGTCCATCCCTGAGGAAAGCTCAAACTCAAACATGGCAGGAACCTGGAGGCAGGAACGAAAGCAAAAACAATAGAGGAACACTGGGTTGCTCTCCATGGATTGCTCAGTTTACTTTCTTATATAAACAGTACCACCTGCCCAGGAGCTGTACCACCACACCAATCAAGAAAATGCAAGGCTTGATTCAAGATGGAGGCAGTCGCTGGCACCGGCAGCGCTGTGGGCCACTTTGAGGAGCCTGAGAGACACACGGAGGCATCAGGGGGAGACGAGGCAATGGAGGATAAACCTACAGATCCACACAGTATCTCAGGAACAACTAAAAAGGCAGTTCTTATGGGGAGATGCTTGTGAGTTTGAGGCCAGCCTGGTCTACAATGCGCGTTCCAGGACAGCCAGAGTTGTTACAAGAGAAATGCTGTCACACACACACACACACACACACAAAAGCAAAACCAAAACCAAAACCAAAGCAACAACAAAAAGACAGACAGACAGACAGGGAAAGAAAGAAGAGAGAGAGAGAGAGAGAGAGAGAGAGAGAGAGAGAGAGAGAGAGAGAGAGAGAGAGAGAAAGAAAGAAAGAGAGAAAGAATAAGTGGTTTCATGGAATCATGAAAAATTGGTGGTGGAATGAACAGAGCAGCGTGTGCCCCGGAGAGAAGAGGCACTAGACACAGCC